ACCGGTGAAAAACTGGGAGGTAAAGACTTAAAAGAGGCCAAGAAGTGTATGAGGGAAATGAATCTCATACTTGCTCTTAAGCGTGACTGTTATGAAGCGTTAAGTATATTGACAGACCGTGTGAGTTTACGAAAGTAAAATAAAAAGTTATCTGTTGAATGCACATTCAACAGATTCGAGCTATACAGAAGACGGTTTTATAAAAATCTGACCGAAGAACAGCACGGGAGCCACAATGTAAGGACTGAGGAATTCAGGGATTTTTGGGGTACGGTGTGGAACTCCGAAATGAGGAAGTATGATGATATCCAGCACAACGAATATCTGAAAGAATTTGTTCCAGGTGATGAAGTGCATCATACTTTTCCCTCTGAAGCCGAATTTGGGAAGATAGTTTCCTATTTGCTCAATTTGAAGGCGGTAGGGCCTGATGCACTCTATAATTTCTTTATTAAAAAATGCATCTCTGTACATCCGGACCTGTATAATATGTAGGAAGGATTTGCCTGGTTGGGGAGGAAGAAAATCCATGGTTTTATAAAATAAGTACTACCTAGTTCCAAAAGTTTTTTCAAGTAAAGCCAAAGTCAGGTCAATAACTTGTTGTTGTTGAATTTCTACAAGTTTATTACAAAATGTGTGGCACGAGTCATGCAATGCGATATTGCTACGAGAAGAATATATGCAAATAACCAATTAGGAACTGTTGGCCAAAGTACGAGAGAACGAGAACTTTTGAACCTGGGAGTATGCAGAGTGCATGGAAATCAGCTATTTACCTAAATGGTATGACGTTAAAAAATGTTCGATTCAGTTAGTCACAGCTCTTGATTAAGTGCATTGGAAGGCTTAACATGCCATCGTGGATCAGCAGATTTTTTGAAAAACATCACTTCTAGTTAGGCAGTTGTACTGAAGAACAATATAGAAACTATAATAGGGAATAAATGCAACGAAAAATTATCCTAGGTGATAGTCTTTCTCCGCTGCTGTTCGTCTTGTTCATGGATCTGTTGAGTTGCCGGTCCAGTACGAGATAGCGGTTCCAGCTGATCAAGGAATGCACGTAACGAGCTATTAATTATTTTTGGATAACCTCAAGATCTTTGCGACCGATGAGGATATCATGCAATCTATAACCAAAGAAATCTAGAGGTTCTTTGAACTTTGTAAATAGTAGAGTTATTTCGTTGGAAATAGTGCTGTGATAGTATTTAGTGCATAAGCGCCGATAAGGCGGAAGGAACTGAGTACCTTGAAATAGTGGAATACAGGACTAGTGCACCTACCCCTAAAGCTATTAAAATATGTTTGGAGCTGCGGAAGATATGTGCCAACATTGTAGAGAAACATGTCTGGTAACTTGATGCTAGAAAATGGAGTATCAACATTATACTCGAAGACGCAATGAGGTGCTGTGGCGCATCATCCATTCAGGAGATCGTCGCTAATTAGAACGTAGAAATAATTATTGAGGTTGGCAATGCAATTAGTCAGATAGGTTGATAGCAGTCGAGACCGAGGAAAAGCGAAAATATGATTCACGGTTAATAAACTCAGTGCAGAGATGAAATGCAGAATAATTTGATATGTGATAACTTGAAACGGGATTGTAACAAACTTTCATAAAGTTGTTCGAAGGAGATCAGTATATCGGTTTATATTCTATCGATAATGCACAAGAAAACACTCGAAAGCATCTCATTCAGTCACAGCCGTGGATTCAGCGAGGTGAAGGCTTCAAAAATATATATATGTATATATTTCGTTGACATATGAATAAATAATTCACTTCCTTATTATTTTTATTAAATAAATGAACATTTGAGTTAATATACATTTGCTTCACTGCACAGCCTTACTCTTTTAGTGTTTTTTGATAATGCATAAATTGCGTAAAATATTGGTTCTTGATAAAAAAGATTTTCTTTTTATAAGTATGCTTTAATATGCTAGTTTCATGAAATCAGGCTGTGTGAAAGCATATTTTTCAAGAGAATAAATTATATATATAACAAGCATATGTCCAGTGATGCCAGCACATATATTTTATTATTGGTTGGCATCACTGAACATATGCTTGTTACACTGAGAGCATTTTATGGAAGTGTGTCCAGAGTTTTTTTTGTCAAAATTATTATTCCTATTTCATTCAAAAAAGAAATAACAAAACCGCAAATCAAGACTGGAATTAATTTTTCATTCCTTATAAAGTCGTTCTGTTCAGTCAGAATGTAATAATGTAAGCGTAAAGATTGCAATAATAAAGGTGTTGAAGATATTCTTTTTTCTTAATTTCTCTAAATTTGTTGTCAATAAAAGAAAAAAGAAAGCTATTGTTGGCACAGAAATTAAAATTTTATCCATATCATTTAAGAGACAAAATATAGCATGAGCTAGGTAGAGTAAGCTTTATATATATGCTTTGACTGATCATAAACAGACTTTAAGAAACAATACACATTAATCCAAGTATATATAATTTTTTTTCTTATTGATGGATTACTACTGAAAGCAAAAGAGATCATTTATAGGTTTTTGTTTTGTATTGCACAGAGTGGATATGCTGTGTTTGCTTATAAACTGCTTCGCTTTTTTTTCTGACTTCATACTACTCAAATCAGATACCTGTCGTCATATCTGAAGTGATATTTTTGCATGCGCTTTCAGTAGTGTTCAATGCTAACAGCGTTCCTGAGTCACCTTCATCATACGCTCTTCCCTTGTGTACAGTTCTTCACCATCAGTCGACCACACCATACTCCAGCAAACTTGCACGACAATCTGGAACTCTTATTTATTCATCCGAACAAGGTGGCAGAGGTATCTGTAATGCTACTAGCAGTGTATAGTTATGTGGATAAGTTTTTAAGAAGCTTCAATAAGGCGAGGTATTCTGATTCAGTTGCACGCATTAAAAAATTTTTTCGTGCTTGATTTTTGTTTGGCTTTTCAAGGCTCCAATTCTTTGAAAGGATTCAGTTTTTAAAAGTACATTTTTTCAGTTTTTGCTAGTGTCTAACTATGTATCAAGTTTTGACTAAAAGTAGTCTAAAGATTTGCATGAGTAATGTAAATAACGTAGGATATCTTCATGTCATGTTGGCATTGCTCAAAGTAATTTTATACTTCTGAAATTAACTAATAGTAATTGAGTACTAACCTCGACAGATGGTTCCCGTCACTGTCATTATGCTTTGCTGGGAAAAAAATATCAAATTCTTTGCAATCAATGTTGAAATTGTTTTTGCTGTTGTTTGGAGCACATTGCTTATACTTATGTGTTTTACACGTACTGTATGTAGCGAAATTCCATCTTCAGGATGGTTTTAGGAGATTGTTTTATTCTCTTTTTTTCAATATTGAAAAAGTCTTATGATTATAAATAATAAAGTGGCGTGCAGGCTTAGAGCGAATGCAGATTTTCTCGGCAAGCTTATTTCACAATGCGGTGCATTTCAAATTATTACAGTTCCCATCCAACAACGTCAGGTTGGTAGTATAGCTGATTACGATCCATTAAATGGAAACTGGGGTACAGTAGGATCGAGTCGAACGGCGGAAAAAATTGGTACGATCATTTCTTTTATTGTCCAGCTGTTTTCTGTTTCTGTTCTTACTTCGTTTTCTTCCTTTTTTCGTAATATACGTAATAGTGTCGAGCGTGTGTTTGGGCCGAACTAATCTGTTTTTTGAAATTAATAAGAAATAAGTATAAAGGTTTGTAAGTAGCCATTTACTATTCAAGTTTTTATCACATATTTTTCTAGGTTTTTCTTTTTTTATAGTTAAAGACTTTTTCAAACATTGTTTAGCGAAAGTAATTGGGAAATTAACTGCTCTTAGAATGAAGCCGTCATTGTAACATTAGTCTCTGTATATATCTTCAATTATAAATCATAAGTTTTCAAGAACATAAGAAAAATATTTGCTGTTGATGCATTCATCACAACTATTCTTTGTTATTTTTTTTGGCATCTTAATTGGTGTTTGCGTGGCTTTTACTTATGGTCAGTGCTTAACTTTCTGCTACCTTTTTGTTTGGTTTGTCAATAAAAATAAAACTAGATTTTGTTTACAATCGTAATTATTGCACTCTTTTTAGGTTCATTTTATCTGAGTAATAAGTCCATTTGCTAGATTGGGGTAAGCGTAATGATTGAACGAAGTAGAGTGCATCTTTGCACATCTTACTTTTATAATTAAAATACAGGAACGCACTTGTAATTTTTGGGAAAGTTCAAAATAAAATTTTATTGCTTGTTGATCAATCGAGTCATTTATACATGTTTTACATTTACTCACATGTAACAATTGGAGTTTGATGAGCAAATCCTAATTTTATGAAATTATGCTTTTAGGGCATATGGTTGTGTCGAGTGCCGTGTCAGGCGTATCAAGTATGAAAGGAAGTGGACCAAGTTTGAAAGGAGCTGACTTTATTGTGAGAGCACTTTATGATTACACTGCGGCCGATAAAGATGAGGTCAGTAATGTAACCTTTAGTTGTATTCAGTAATGTATTCAAAGTGTCAAGTTAGTCGTAAATCGCGAAAATCAGGAGCAAATAGAGTAGTGAACTTATTTTGATCTTTTTTCAGTATAGAATAAATATTGGTGTTTTTTGTGTTGGAAAGTTAGATAAAACGTGCTTTTTGAATTAATTTATTGTTATTTAGATAGTTAGTGAAAATTATCAGATACTGTGAAATGGACTTTGTGTAAAATTCATGATGGAATGAAAAGTTTTAGGTGACATTCATTGAAGGTGATATTATTATCAATTGTCAAAAAGTAGACGAAGGATGGCTCACAGGTACTGTGCAAAGAACACAGCAGTGGGGAATGTTACCAGCGAATTACGTGGAGAGAGTGAAACAGCCTACTGGGCTTCATTATCTCAGCTGAGCCTTTTTAGTCCTATGTTTATTACTTTGCATGGCTTGAATCATCTTCATTTTTTTATTCAGTAGTCTGAATAACTCTAAACCCTTTTTTTCAAATAGTTATGCCGTGTTTTTGGGTTGTTAATCTCTAAAACGATTGAGAAGCAAGAATTTTTTGTCATTCTTCATTAAAGTAGTAAGAAAACGAAATTTAGCATCACTAAAGGTGTTTTTCGTCGTATAACTTCGCAATATCAACTAATAAAAAAAGCACAATAATATCCTGATCTGAAAGTGCTTTATCAGTTATCAATGCCTTCTTAAATGGGGTGGTGGTCACATGCTTTTTAGTTTCCTGAGAAATTTTTTAACGAGTTTAATTTAGATTCTTGCTTCTCTTTTGTCTTTTTTCCGATTTCATTTCATTTTTCCTAACTTGCTGTAATGATCGCAGTGAAATTCTCCTTTCTAACTTTTAGATTTTGTTTATCAAGAAGTGTTGTTGACTTAGCATGCATTTAAAGTTGACTTCTATAACATTAATTATTTAAATATCGGAAACTAGATATCTGTTATACTGTTCTACTTAAACTTCCAGTTAGGAGTCTTGAAGGTCTATCAAAAGTAGTAATTATGAATTCTTTTAGTTATGATAAACTTCTGTGTATTAATTCCCTCGGAAAAATTTGCGCATAGTTGTGAACTTTGTTTCCTGTTCCTTTTTTCCTTCCTTAATGTATTTAAACTTGAAAATTCTTCCTTATAATCGTTTCTTTTTTATTTTGTGAGATTATTTTGGGTTATGAAAACCTAAAACATTTATTGATAATGTGCCAAGTGTAGAAATAGAAATGTGAGATTTTTGCGATTTCTGTTCAGTAGTGTAGAAACAGTTCAGTATTAAGGTCGAACTTAACTGTCTGTTTTTCCAGGTAGAAAGTAATTTTCCATTATTTTGGAACAGGAATTCGTATACTTGTCGAATTTTTTATGACAGGATCGCGTAACTTCTACGATGAAATAATCTTGAAAATTTTTGACTGACAATGCAAACAAAACGAGCTGCAATTTAACTCCAGTACTCATCTATCATCTCTATGTTTTAGCTAGGCGTATTATTAAATTATGCAAATTTGTCCAGTTATTTTATCTAATGGTTCTGGATGCCAGCTGCCGTGTAAACGAAATTTAAACTACTCGATGTCTTCCTGATTCTTTTTTCAGATTTGCACTGAATAGTCACGCTTCCTATTTTTCGAATAGCACTTTGAGTTATAGTAATTTTTCCATGATTATGCATGAAGTTCAGCGTAGTGAAACAACTTAAAAGATAGATATTAGAAGTGTTATGTCTCATTTCCTTGGTTTGGATCTTAACGAATCAAATCTAAGGTTTTTAACACTAAGGCAAAAAATCTGATTAGTAGTGTAGTTGTGCGCTTTATATTGAAGTTTCATACAGTGTGTCGCCAGTTGTTCATTGCTTAAATCAAATTTGCGAAGTGAGCTTTCTCATGATATTCTTTGTATAATTTAAATGATGATAAAATGTACAATAGTTATTTAGAAGCTGCTGATACTTTTTAAACTAGTGCCTTTATGCATGCTCGATGATAAGATTTTTTTTCTGCACTATTTGTTTTTCTTTGGAGAATTATAAAATGTTATTCCAAGCTATTGCGCAGGAAATTGCGTCTTCTGTGCATAAATATAAATCTCTGCATTTCGGAAGTTATCTCTTCTTCTGTTTAGTTTTGTATTCATTGCGCAAGACCTAATTGTCTTACAGAGATGTTAGCTGAATGGAGGTAATCACATATATTCTATATATATCAGTTTGAGAGCAAGGTACTAGTGATAATCAAGTGTAGATGAGTATAGAGACAACTTGAACTATATATGACAATAGAATTACGTAAAGAGTGAGACATTTGTTTAAAACATCTTCCTGATTTGTGACATACATTGTTGACACACTGTAAGACATCCAGCTAGCATATGAAATTTCTTATGCAAAGATTATATCCTAACCAGTTTTCTATGTAATGCAATAACAAACTAATCATCTTTCAAAACTTGTTCATTACATGCGCACACTTGCTGTTTCTTGAACTGGTAGTCTTTTTACCTAGAATATCTGCTATAAAAATATTGAGCAAAAGCTGGATATATGGCCAATTATGCTTGCTGCTATTATGTATTGTCGAAATAAAACATTTACAGAACTGGTGATGCTTCGTTGCAGATTACAAGGACCTGAAACAAAATATGATATGCAAGTAGTCGCTACTAGGCTTAATTGTCTACATCAGTATTAGTAACTTAACAATGGACAAGGTTTAGTCTACTATAGTTTAATGTGAATTATCAAACTCACTCTGCAAACATATATGGAGTTTTTCGAAATTAGTAAAATGAGCCACTCTGCATCTGATACAGCAGTGTTTTCGTGAAATAATGAAGTATTCCAAATTTCTTATCAGAATGAAACAATAATATGTATTTTAATAAAAATACTGGCCTAAATGTCTAAATTATCCAGTTATATGGCAGCAGACAAGATTCAATCCACTGTAGCTTTGCGGGCCTTGCGCCGAAGGTCGCATACATTCGCAGTTCACGTCACGTCGAAATTTCTCCTCAAGTAGACCGTGACATAGTCAATAAGTATTTTCCATCAAGTTTTATTCGCAAATACTTTTTAAAAACTAATATGGTCAGAAAATCACGCACGCAATTCGAAAACTGGACTCTATAGTCCAGCGGTTCAAAGGGTTCGATATTCAATACTAAAAAAGATTTTATTTGTCTTAGTTCAAAAAGAGTGTAAAAAATGATCTTACCGTGATAGAACAGCAAGATTGTTGATATTTCCTGAGATTAAAGTCTGTGCATGGACATCCCAGAACAGAGCAATCGCAAAAGCTAGAAAGTGGTGTTCGAACAGTTTCATCGTCACATCTGCGGGACTGGATAAATCTGTTGGGCTGCAGATTGAGATCATTCAAAAATCATGCATAGTACACAGAAGTGTTCGAAAACATTATTAGTGGTGGTGTATTCATGTTGCAAAGAATAATATGAAAGCTTATGTGACAACAGCACACAAGAATGAACAAACCTCAAGATGGAGACAAAACCAAAAAATGATCAAAATAATCGCAAGGTATGTGCAGCAAAGCAGGAAGATGATGCCAACGAACGGAATTTGCATGCCAACAAGAACTACTAATATTTGCACTTAGCTCAGTTTACTGAGCGAGCCTGCACAACATAATGCAAAATTTCCATGGCAACGTCACGTCATCAAGATGCCTTCCTCCAAATAACGACATGTTTTCGACCCGTACCAACCCATGGATCTCACCTTTCACAAAGCTATGTTACTGCGATGGACTTATCGCTTTTTCTTAGAACATGCCGACACAGGTTTCAGATCTCTCACTTTGCATGCACCGTAACTATACAGTACAGAAAGTGAGTAATCAGTCTTGTCTACAGGTTTATCAACGTAATTTTTGGTGATGATTCAAATGAAAATTAGTTGTATTTCTGTATGGAAAGACAGCAGTAAGAGAAAACACATCTTGAAAATGCGCATATCATGAACAAATCCCATTATTAAAGTCAGTTGCTACCACACAGAATTTACATACCTTTAGAACTGGATGTGCAAGAAACTCTCCAGAGAGAGAAAGATCCAGATCCACCTTTTCTGCATACCCTCAGCCTGCCTAATTGCTCGAAGTGACGGAATTATTATTTCCGAGCCGCGAAATATCACGTGATGAGCTTCGGTAATTTTGTCTTGGTGTGTTGGTTTTGTGCTGTTGTTGCGTCGAAGGAATTAATGTCATAGCAAAGACTGAGTGACTGTTCATTTTTGATTTCCTTGCTTATATATTTAATACCAACTGACTTTAATAATTTTCGTTCTTGCTTCACTGATTCTAGCATTGGAACGTATTCCGGCACTCTGACTGTACTTGTCCTACGCTTAATTTCGTTGTCTCCGCTGCTTCGTCCTCGTCGACTTCACGGCGCTGATCGAATTATATGCTTTTGAGCGTCTTCTTGAGCACTATCGATTGGATCTGTGCCTCGTCGTGATCAGATACACTGATTTTCTTCACGCAATGTTTATATAAATTCACCATCCATCCCTAGACATCACATACAAAATTATTTTCGTCCTGCCCCGAGTTTATTACCCAGTAAATCACACTTTCTCTATTTCTCGGTCTCCACCGCTATCAACCTGTTTTGATCAGTGATGCCAATCTCTTCAGGAGTACGTGTCGCTTCTTGTCATACACCACAATATTCATACTTGCTATAAAGCGTGACATGAAGCTTAAAGGATATGTGATTCGAGGAACTACCTTCCTGATTCCAAAAGGTATCCCAAGTAAAGGCAGCGAGTCCAATAACTTGTATGTCGAACATAATGAGAACATGGAAATTAGAGTCGATACACGAGTGAAAACTGCAGTTAGAATAAAGTGGATCGAGCTAACACTTTTACCTCTTTTAAGTCTTATCATCAAGTTTTTCATTGGCCAAAGTCCGCTCTATTCTGTGTATATTCACCTGCCGTTTGGTTTACTTCCCAAGTATGAGCGGGTCCACGCTTATTTACTGTTCCAATATGAGCGAGTCCGCTGTTATTTTCCACTTCCATTTTGTCTGGTTTATCTCACATCCCTATGCTTCTTGCATCAGTATTAAGTATTTTTCCTTCACATCTAAATAAACCTTAAACTCGTGCAGTGTAAACCTTAAACTCGTGCTAGAAGTGCGTATCTTAGGCTTTGACTCGTTTCATTGACTCCTCCAAGAACCGTTTTTGTGATCGTATAAGCTTACGACCTGCAATACTGGTGATCACAGAGTTTGCTTGCTTCTTCAGTTCTTCGAGGGTAATAGTATGCAAAAACTTCTCGCTATGTAGGGAACGGCACAATGGCCACTCCCCTCTTGGCATTCATCGAAATCGGTCAAGGACCGTTTTCAGCACTTGGTTCGTGGGGTTTCAATTCCACGGACGATTGCTTCAAGCGTTACCATCAGGTTCCGGTACACTGGCAGAATGTTCTCTCATACCCTTCACGTAGCTTCTAACCGCATTTGTTTTTCTATTGTTTTCACTTATGATTCCAAATGCAGACTCTTTCCTTTTACCCTCCATTTTATGTTTCCCAATACATCCGCTGGAGATCAACCGCTCAGCACCTCTTCAAACCCAGAATTATTAGAATTATTCATTTATTGAGTTCTGTAATTTTTTGAACTTTCCTTTATTTTTATCTTTGTGGAAGAAACTTTCGGTTTTTGGTAATTGTAGATTAACATAATAATAATTCAATGATGGAGCAGTTTTCTGCGTCAGTAATATTCAACGATCAGCAACGTGATCTTATTCACCACGTTGCATTCGACTTTCACGGACGCCGAATTGCAACATCGTCCAGTGATATGATGGTTTGCGTGTGGAATTTATCACCAAATGGTAACTGGGTTAAATCAGCTTCATGGAAGGTTAATATCTTTTTTAGTTTCAATTTTCATTTGTTGAACATGTGTAAGTATTGTACTCTTTTAAAGTGTCTAATTGTAAGTTATCATTTTTTCATATTTCGTGTATTTCTAGTCAATTTCTCCATTTAATAGTTTTTTTAATAAATAGGTTAGTGTAGTGCTTGTCTGTAATGTGAATTACCGTATGATATATGTGTTTTTAAAATTATTTCATATTTAGTGTACAACCAAATTTGGGTTGCATTTTTTCAGTACTGAGAAATTATAAGGTGTGTTGGGCTATTATTCAGATTACTAGATAGTGTATAAGTGATGTCTGTTGATCTTGGAAATTTAGTGTAGTGAAATAAATTAATTGTAGAGTCATAGTGGACCAGTCTGGAAAGTTGTTTGGGCACATCCGGAATTTGGACAAATTTTAGCCACGTGCTCTTTTGACCGGAGCGTCACGATTTGGGAAGAAACAGGTTTGTTTAATTCTTCTTCGTAAGCACAGTTTGTACCCTTAATTTAAATAGCATTAACATTTTCAGTGAATGAATCATTTTACTTTTTTGGAAACATCCCGTAGCTTGTTGAGATTCGGAATTTTTTACTTCTCGATTATTTAAGTGGCTCTGTAATTAAAAATATATGGCTTTGGGATCCACAGCTGTTTCAATTTTTGAAATCTCTGTTCATATAATTGTCACTTCAAGTTGTATTTATGTTTTTCATTGAAAATTTCGCTTTGAAGTGCGTCAGCCAGTACAAATGATAATTAATAGCGGTATCCAAAGTGGTCAGAAAGAGCAGCAGCCTCGATGGAAGCGTTGCTGTCAACTTGTGGATAGTCGCCATAATGTGACAGATATCAAATTTGCTCCAAGACATCTTGGTCTGATGCTTGTAAGGAGTAGTTTTTCTGTGTTATTTTATCAATTTCAGGGAAGTGTGTCAAGCTTGCATTCTCTTGAACTCAATATATTAAAAAAATTGCAATTTTGTGGTGCTTTTAGTTTTGTTTGTTTTCGAAAGAAGCCTATGCTTTTCATTTCTTTGTATTTCGTAGCATTTAAAAAAAATTCAATTCATTATGATGCAGCAAAAAAATTTACAATTCTATCATTGTGATACAAGCATTCGCTCCTGCAGTAATATCTTTCAGTTAGTGTTTTATACCATTAAATTATCAATCTTGGTCCTCCTTTTTATTGCTTGGTTTCATTTCCTTTTTGTAAATTTTATTCATTGTTTATTTCCAGGCGACTGTGTCTTCTCAAGGGGTTTTGCGGATATATGAAGCTCCAGATATAATGAATTTATCAATGTGGAGTCTGAATCAGGATATAGCTGTTTTCCGATGTCGTTGTAGCTGTCTCTCCTGGAGTACAAATCGTCTTGCAAAACCTCTCATTGCTGTTGGATCAGACGATGCACATACAACTGGAAAACGAGTAGCTATTTATGAGTATCATGACAATCTTAGGTAATCATAATTTTGTTCAGCAGGTTTTTTCGCCATTTGTTGCAATCATTTTCTGCATTCCTTTTCAATATTTCAAAAATATGTTCCGAATCTTCGAGTGGAAAATTTCAAATTTTATAGAAAATGGCAGCTTCTTAATGTTCCTTCCTTAAAAATAAGTGAATCAGTAACGGACATTGCTTTTGCACCACCAGCTGGCCGATCATACCATATACTTGCCATTGGCTCCAAAGACATTTTTTTGTTCAAATTAAGTAGCAATGGACAGTCTACAGATTTAAATGGTGATTTGATTGAACGTTGTGGACCCACCGCCTATGAAATTACCCAGTTGGATGTTCTTGAAAATCCATCTCATTTGCCAGTTCAGGTTTGATGAACATGTAATTTGGTGGTAAAAATCACACATTGATGTGCATCAATATTGTTATATCAATGAAAAGTTTCACTAAATTTCATGAATACTTCGAATGATCAATACTTCGTTACATGAATACTCAATACATGAATGCTTCGTTTGATCATCCAAAGTATTCATGAAGTTGAAACTTGAAGCTTGAGAAGATCTAAACATTTGCTGCCTGTTAAATTGCTGAAGGTTTTCAAAAATCTTTATAGGTTTGGAGATTGTCGTGGAACATTACTGGAACTATATTAACAGGCGGAAGTTCGGATGGGTGCATTCGCCTGTGGAAAGGTTAAATTAATTGTATTTATTACGAAATAAATTGCAGATTATTGCTAAGGAAGGGTAATAAATATTAAATTGCTTTTTCAGAAAATTTATTGAATAAATGGAGTACTATCGCTACAATTAAGTCGATAGAAGATCAAAAGCCGTCAGATGATGATCCTGAATCTATCACATCAATAGGTTCCCTGACTAGAGATAGCTTGGTTTACTACTGAAAATTACTATTACTTTTCATTCTCATGTCTCAGTTTTTTACTGTCGCAGTTTTGAAGAGTCATGAGAATATTCTTCAATTTTTAAATCATATTTGCTTGAAGTCTGCAAGAACTTATTGTTCCTAATTATTTTAAAATTGTGGCATTCTGTTTTTTGTATTATCTCATAATAGAAATTGGTCACTTGAAAGAAGTATTACTGCTGTTGTAATTTTCATCGAAGATGGAAATGAAACAAGAAAAAAGCGGTATATAATAAAATATAGTTGAGTTGTCGTAAGCATTGGCAAACAAGATGCTCCAGTCTTTTTTTCTAGCACTTTTTGATCGACCTTTGTTATCATTCAAGAAATTCTTTGATCACAATGTGTCTTCAAGTTTTGATCAATACGAAGCCTTGGAATTTCTAGGTTTCAATAACTTAGCTCAAATTAAGAAAGTTGATATTGATTGATGAGTGTAGTTAGAGGTGGGGAATTTGAAGAGAAGTTTATTGATAGTGCGATTCAGAAGTGTAAGATTCATAATCTTGTTCATGAGTAATCAAAAGTGCATGCATGATTTTTGTTTTGTATATCATTTTTAATCTCCTGTTGATTTCGTGTAATGAAATAGTTTTTTACCTAGTAGAGGTTTTTATGTATTATAAACGTTTGCAAAATCGTTTAATCTGTCTTATCGCAGCTATGAATAGTTCAACTTTGCTTTTAGTAACAGGGTTGTATCATTCACTTATTATGTATGTGCTTTAATCATTTAGAGGTCTGCTAAAGTAAGAACTGTTTTCGCTCATTTTTTGCCATTATGGCAAAAATTACCTGGAACTCAATGTTTTTTATCATTTATAAATTTTTAGATGTAAAGTTCATATGATGTTTTCTTTTTACTTTCTTTAAAAACTATTACTTTTGTAAAGAAAAGAAATTTGTCCTTCAAGTAAAGAAAAGAAATTGTTCTAGTCAATTCTTGACTTATCTATTTCGTCTTTTCCATTCTAGGATTGCTTTGTTTATCATTTTTTCTTCCACTCAGAAATATGTGGGTTCATAATTTGTTTGATAACAAGTTACTTCGTTGGAAGATTTTTCACATTCTATTTAAAGAGTTTTGCATTGCAAATTTTCTCTCGAAATAACATATTTTTTTGGAAATATTCATTTTATAAAACTAGAGTAACTTTCTTGTATCTGTTTGAGGTAGGCTTTATTTTGCTTAAGTTTCTTAATTCTTGTGAGTTTCTTTAATTCATGATTTTGTAGCACTCAAATAGTGGCGAAGATGGGGACAGAAGACTACCGAACGCTTACTTTAAAGTGGCTGCAGTGGGATAAAGTGAGAATTTTTAGTTTTATTTATTTTGAACTTTCAATCATATATATTCTTTGTTTAGCACTTATGTATTATTTCTCTTTTTTATTCCTTGTAATTCATCGAATTTCATTAAAAAACGTAAATGAAATGCAATCCAAGAACGTGCTACCATAGACTGAAACCATAAGGGAGGTCGCATTCGATCATTTTTTGTGCTCTTTATTTTAATTTTTTATTATCGTAAGCTAATAGTGAGGTAATTATTGGATTCTTTTGTTTTTGTTTTTTAAGTCAAATAATTTTAGTTCTAATCAATTCCATTAATATTGTGGAACAGTTTTTACCATGAGTACTCGGTTGATATGTACGAGGTAAATCATATTAATAATCATGACCAAAGATTATGTTTTTTTTTTCATAAAGCAGGTTTTTAGAATGAAAAAAGCCGTGCAGAAATTGAGAAGTTGTACCAAAAGGAATCTGTAGATGAATTGCAAGCAAGAATGTGTGGCAAATTGGTATTTGGGACAGCGGGTATGAGTTGCACTTCAGATCAGTTTCATGATTGAGTGCACAGTTTCTTGCTTGAATCCAGATGTTTTTTTAATTAAAAAAAATAAACATTGCTTGTGATTTTGCACTCCGTTTTTCTGAATTATTTTTGTAAGAAAAAAACCAGGGGTTTTACGGAAATTTTTCTACTCTATAATTTGGTGCTGCTAATTTTCAGTTGCTTAAATAATTTTGTTCATGGATCAAAGTAGTTTTCTGCAGGATAATTATTTTTCCTTAGACTCGTTTTTATTTTTAGCTAATTAATTTATTTAGGAGTACGAACTAAAATGGAAGGAGGTTTTTGTCGATTGAATGATTTGACAATATTAATGCTAACTCACGGTTTTGCTGTACACTTAAAAAATACTTATAATCGTGAAAGTAATGGTGTTGCAATTGGTTTTGATGGCCGTCATAATAGCAAAAAGTTTCTATTTTTTTTTTTTTGGGGTCTTTAAACTTCAAGATGATGTGTGCTATTCAATACATTGCACAGAAGAAACAGTTATTTCGCTGTGATTATCGTGAAATATAAATAAAGAGCAGCTATTTGAATGATACCGAAAAAAAGGACATTAAGCATCGGCTTAAGATAGAATACAGGTTCTTATAAAACGATGAATCAAGCAAATACACATTTGAGAAAGATGTGTGTCATATTCGAAGAAAATTGGTCTAGTTGGTTGTTTTCAACGAACTCTGTATTAAAGTCGGACATGAATAGAATTGCAGGGCGGATTTATTATATTGAATATCTTCAGTTTAAAATATTTTAGATGGGCTACATTGGCAGCCAATGTATTCGTTCTTAATGGTATCAAAGTATATTTATTCTCAGATTATTGCCCAACTCCTCTTGTGGTAAATACTTATCCGCCTATCAGTTATTCTGTTGTTCTTAGAATTTTTCGTTTATTAAATATAGCAAGCAAAATATATTTATCAAATACACCAAAATTTCGTCTAATTCTCTAAAAGGCAATTGACAAATAATCGATCTTTTGTTTCAATTAATATAAGATAGCTTTCTTAAATTAGTTTCATTCAGTTTTTAAATTTGCAGTCTTATGCAACGCTGAAATTGGTTTGTGATGCTGGCTTGATGATAACTGCATCACATAATCCGAAATACGATAATGGGTACAAAGCTTACTGGACAAATGGAGCTCAGGTAAAATGCTTGAAGAAGGCGAATCACGTTTATAACAGAAATTTTAAATAAAAGTGGTTAGAGCTTTCGATGTCGAAATTTCCTTATCAAAGTCTTCAGATCTTTCAGCTGCGTAATATAAGTTTTAATTTTCTGACTTTTTTAAAGTGAATGTACAGTACGTTAAAGAAGAGCTAGCTTTTTCGAAATCATTTTTCTTCGGCAGGTTATTATCAAGCAAAAGAGATTATATTCCTAATTATAATAACTGCCTTATTATCATCGGTGGAATCATGTAAAATATTCAGATATTGTCGCCTCACGACTCAGAAATATGCCGCATTGCTTATGAAAATGGGGAACCAAATTCGGAGTATTGGAATACATCAACACTATACTCCCATCCACTTTTTCATTCAGCTGATTCCGTTTTGGAAAAATATTTCAATGAAGAATCAAGTCTCTGTCACTATGAGTAAGATGAATTTAGAATTTAAAAAAATTGCCAAAAGTACTAGGACGCCTCATACCGACTTAAAAAAATAGTTCGAGATTCTAAATAATAATTCACATTTCATTCTTCATAATGAAATGAAAATACAAGTAGCAAATTATAATCCGTGATCCTGAAATGCATATTTCTTCCATGCAATGATTATAAATTTTGATTTTTTTATTCATTAATTAACAATACATCGTATTCCAAGTTTATTTTTTTACAAAGCCGAAATTAATATCTGATTTAGAATTTTGTATTATATATGCACTGTAAAAAGTGCTATTCATGTGATCATTCAAATTCATTGCTTCATAACAGGTCCTTGAATGAAAAGTGTCCTTTAAAATTCACTTATACTGCTTTCCATGGTGTAGGATTACCATATGTGACAAAAATGATGGAGGTTTTCAAATTTCGGTCTAAAAATATTGTCATTGTTCAGGTATTAGCTATCTTTTCTTGAATACTTTAAAACTAATAGGTGTTTTTTATCATTAAAAATTACAAATTTAGATGTAATTCAGGAACATGCAAAGCCGGACCCTGATTTTCCAACAGTGCCATTTCCTAATCCAGAAGAAGGTCTTAAAGTGTTAAAAATACCAATATCAGTTGCTGACCAACATAATTCCACTATAATTTTAGCCAACGATCCAGATGCTGATCGTTGTCAGGTGGCAGAAAAACAATTAAAGTAAAAAATTTGCGAAGCTATTCATCAATATTCATTTATTTTGCTTTTCTGCTTTATCCACTTTTTTTTTTTAAATTATGTGTAGTTTTCTATTTTACTGCCTTAATTTCTAAAAACTCTTACATGGATTGTATTGTCATAATTACATTTACTTTATTATTACTGATTAAATTGTTCAGATAATTAGGATGAATGGTTGTAGTAAGGATATAACATCATGTTCGTATGTCTATTTGATATTGTTTTGTTCGTATTAAATTTAAGTGGTGACTGGAAGGTTTTCACTGGTAATGAGATGGGAGCATTAATGTCGTGGTGGGTTTGGCGTTGCTGGCGAGAACAAAATCCAGAAAAGGACTCTTCAGATGTTTATATCGTGAATAGCGTTGTTTCGTCTTCGATAACTCATACTATTGCTGTTGCAGAAGGTGTGATTTTGATGAGTAATTTTTTTCTATTCATATGAGATGTCCGTAATTTTAAAAATTTGTGGAAAATGAATAAGAATCAACAAAGGAGTTTTTAATAATAATCAAGCAAAATATTCTCTCGTATTTATCCATTGAAAATTAGAACTATTTAGTTTGTGCGAAGTATTTCTAATCTTCAAGCAATAGATAGGAAAGATCAAATGATGCCCAGGATTGATTCAAAATTGAATAATTTGTTTGACATTGATAAATGCTTTAGGATTTAAGACGGATGTTGGTTTAACAGGGTTTAAATGGTTAGGGAACAAATGCGATTATCTTCGTCGAGAAGGCAAAGAAGTACTGTTGGCATGGGAAGAATCAATAGGTTTTATGGTGGGACATTCCCTCGATAAAGATGGCATTACGGCAGTGGTAGTATTCGCTGAAATGGCATCATATTTGTGCTCTATAAATTTGACTCTTAATCAGCAACTTGTTAACATCTTCAAAAAGTACACTGTTTTGTCTATTTTATTCTTTTGGAGAAGAGTGACAGACATTATTGATTGTTAGCTGTATTTCAATTGGTTGCAAGAATTTGCTAACTTAGGAAATTTTTAAAGCAGTGCACTACCATCTTTGTTTGTATAGAAAAAATTTGGTTAACCCTCAGCAGCAGAATTACATATCTACATCTCCAGCTTTGCAATATATAATTCTCATTATTATAGATATGGTTTCCATTTATTTATCAGCTCGTATTGGTTTGTACCTAGTCAAACAATAATGAGGGATATTTTCGCAAAGCTTCGCAAAGAGGGAAAGGTACACTTAGTGTATTTTTACATGATAAACATTCTAGAAAAAAATCAAATTCTTTCATTTGGTAAAATTAAAAGAAATTTTAGTTAACTAAAAATTTTTTTTAATAACTTGGTACTAATTAAGAAAAGGCTGTATTTCATATTGTTGCAAGCAAATATTTTTTGTAAAGTTGCAGTACCCCAAAAAGATCGGAACATATGATGTTAAATATGTACGAGACCTTATGACTGGATATGATGATGAGCAACCTGATAAAAAAACAGTTAGTTTTACTTATTATCTGACAATTGATTGAAATCTGCAATATCGGTGACAATTTATTATTGCTTCTTGTATTTTAGGTTTTACCTCTTTCTCGATCATCTGAAATGATAACTTTTTCATTGTCAAATGGTAGTTGGACAACAATTCGAGCAAGTGGGACTGAGCCTAAAATCAAATACTACATTGAGTTCAAATCTCTAGGGGGCAAAACTGAAAAGTAATTTTTCGCAACCTTCTGTTCTATGAACAGAAGGTGTTCATAGAAAAGAAGGTTGTGACGAACTTTATTATAACAAATAAAAGTGGTCTTTCATTGAAAAAAAGGATAACAGAGTAATGATTATTTTGCCCTGCACTGTTTTTTTAGAAGAGATTTTTTATGATCAAACTGCTTATAAGATTGGATATTCTGTTATTATACTATTTTTTCTTCGAAGCTGTTCTGTAATATTTTCGTACGTTCTTATATTAAAATTACAGAGATCTAGTAGACATGAAGAACGAATTGTCTAAATTGGAGCAAGCTGTGGTCGACAATTTATTGGAACCAAAAGTAAATGGTCTTATTGCAAGGAACTAAATTTGGCAATATTTCAAAATTTTGCAGCGGGCTTCTTTCGTTCATTCAGAATGGAATTCTCATATTTACTGAGGAATTTAAGAATTTTGGAAACATGATATCGAAAAATGTTATGACTGAAATGAGGATTTTTGAAAACATATAAGTGATACATATTACAAACTTTGAGTGGAACTTTCTAAGAAATCATATACATTGGTTGATTCAGATTAAATGCATGGATACAGGTTGCAAAAAGTCTTTAGTGCGTCGCAACCAATTAGATTTCACGTTTTTTGTTGCCTTTTATTATAAGAAAATAACGTGTGGTGTGAGTTTGTTAGCTAATTAATCCCATTGTGTTTTTCACTCTATTGTGTTGTTATGTTAAGTCACATTCCTTTCTTTCTTTGTTTGACACTATTTTCATACTTTGTGTCTCATGATTTCTGATTCTTCGGACTAATCAGATTTTTTAGTTGCTCTGAATAAAGCAAAAGAATGTTTTATTTATCTCACAGGAATCTAATACTATGTGGTCATACTAACCGATTCTGTATTTTTTAGTTTCAATTTCGCAAAAGTACAATAAACAGAGTTACTGAAAACATGAACCATATCAGGGATCAGTTGAGGTATATGTTAAGATCATGATCATGCACGGAAACACGCATGTTCATGACAGCGAAAGCTATTGAGAAGCTGATCCAGGTGTAATATTATAATGAGGGCTGAGTTAGAGAACATTCTCGTATCCTGTTTAGTGGCGTTGTTAGCAATTACATTTCGTGTGAATATATAGGTGATAATCTGGAGAGTTGCATTTCAGTTCAGGTTGAATAAGCTATGAGGAGTTGTTAGGAAAGTACGAGTAATTATGATTTAGCGCTCAGTAATTTCAGTTTGGATAATGTTTTTTAATCTTTTATTGATTCTGTATAATCTGAGCGCTGTACTATCACTTATACCGAGTGCTATAAGTTTATTGTCACGATTAGGGATCCAATTCGTCAGTTATGTTAATTATATCGTCATTAAATTACTTTATTCAATGCTCACATAGTTGTTTTTTTAGCTTTGCATAGTTGCTGAACTGAAGAACTGCATGGTATTGATAGATATACGTGATAGACATACTTTGGCATTGTAATAATAATTGGTTACCAGCATCTACCTACATCCTAACGCAAGCTTTTGTTGATGTTCATTAGCAGTATGGGATTTTTCTCCTCTGGAAGTAGCGGCAAATATTTGTCTGTGAAAGTCAGTACTATGGATGCTGATCTAGAAAAAATCAGTGTTGAAGTTGGTTTATATTTCAAATGATATTTATGACCAAAAAATTTGTATCTTGAAATCGATTAACAATTAGTTAATTACAGTTTAAGTAGTTACCATTTCCACTCATTTGTTTTTGAAGACGATTTTGAAAAGTTAAACTGTTTTGTCATAGGTAGTGAGCCATTTTCTTGTTGTATTTTGTTTATATTCAGGTAATTACAAAACTTTACGTGAACTCATCTAGCTTTTTACTTAAAAACCCGATAGGATACATTTCGATGTTCCAGATATATTGATAAAATGTATATAAGTTATTTCCTCGAATTAGCGTTTTATCGGTTCTTTATTCTTGATTTTTATCTGCAATCTTAGGAGGTGATTTAAATAACAGTTTGTGTTTCACAAAGAATTTTGCTTTACATGTGTTTAATTTTTCAACTAAAGGCATCCATAAGAAAACTGTTCCATAAATTTTGAATTACTACGATTGTAACGCTATGTACATTCATTTCGGTGTTGGTTGGAAATTAACGCAGAAAATTATGTTTCAAGAGATTATCAAAAAATCTTTTAGCCAGATTGCAGTGGACGACATTTGTTTGATACTGTATGCAGGATTATCGGTCTGCGAGAAATCTGGTTTTTTGGCTTGCAGTTTGTCAACAGAAAAGGAATACCATGCTGGTTACAAATGGATAAAAAAGTTCGTTTTAATGTGATGCAGCATGTGAAAGACGGATCACAAGTGGTTTATCATTAAATTTATTTGTTTTGCACAATGTTATATGTCTATTTCATAGGATATTGGGCGTTATGGAATTGCTGATTTGTTTTTCTAATTGTTCCATAAATTTTGAATATTGTTTTTATTTTTGTTCATATTTTTTTCTTTTTTTAAATGACTTATTATCTTACTGTTTATTCACTTTTTATTACAAATTATCTAGTGGCTAAAAGTATTGCGTCCTCATGATATTCATTAAAAATCATCCTTACGAGTCATCAGTAGCTCTCAAGATTTGTTAGCATTCTATATGCAGTGTGTTCATCCGTCATACTTGTGTACCTTTTCCAGATTGTTATGAGATATTGCAGTTAACCATAAATTGCTTTTCGAATTCTCTAAAATTTCAGATAAATAAGCAAGAAGTGCCAAAGCAAGAAGATGGTTCAATTCATTTCATTTTTTTGGTTAAATTCTATCCTGAAGATGTCGAAGAAGAGCTCATACAAGATATAACGCGTCACCTTTTCTTTCTACAGATCAAGCAAAGTATTATAAGCATGCAGTTATATTGCTCTGCGGAAGCATCTGTACTTTTAGCTTCGTATGCTGTACAGGCAATAGTAAGTTCTGTTTTGTAATAGAAATAATAGATTCGAAACTAAAAAATAATAGATTCGAAATTAAAAATTATGGTCCAGTTATTATGCATTCGGGAATATTTTGTAATCATGAATCAGCAGGCATTGAAGTTCTAATCCCAGATGTAGTTTTTTTATTGTACTGTATGCACATGAATGGTTTTCGGAAAAAAGTGGTGCTTATTTTTTCAGCAGGGTGACTGTACAGAATGTTCAGAGTTGAAATTAAGTGAGTTCTTGCCAGAATGTGTAATCAAACAATATGATATGACACCTCAGATGTGGGAAGAACGAATTAAGCGCTGGTGGATTAATAATAGTGGGCAAAGCAGGTTAAATTGATTTGAAATATCTAGTAATTTAAACAAATATAATTTATACTCTCATCATCAGTGATTTGCAAAATGTAACAAAAAGTGCTTTTTCAGTATTTTCAGCTTATTATCAAAGTTATAGGGAAGATGCAGAAATGGAGTATTTACGTGTTGCACAAGATTTAGAAATGTATGGAATTCAATATTATCCCATATGCGTTAGTTTTTAACTAATTTTATAAGAATGAAAATGTATTGCAAAATGCTTGATCGACAGAAATTTCAGTTTGATTTTCATAGAAAACTGAGAGCTCATTTTTCAGCAAGGGCTGTACAAAAAGTGCATAGTAAGTTCTTAAGTCGCGATGTATAATATTTTGAATATATTTCTCTTGTTTGTTGTAGATGAGTTTCATTACTTTTATGAACTAACGATTACATGCTTTTGGAAATAATTAAATGAAGACATAAATAATTATCACAGTAAAAAGTCATTTTAGAACAGCAAAGAAACAGATCTAACTCTTGGTGTGTCAGCACAAGGTATTGGAATATATAAAGAAAGTAATCGAATTACACCAAGACCATTTTTTTCCTGGAGTGAAATTAAAAACATATCATTCAAGAACAAAGTAGTAAGTTAAACTGTTTAATTAAAAGTGTGTAATTCTTTAAAATTTCTAACACTGTTATCTTTTTTTACTTTTCTGCATATTTTTTTGCAACATTTATTAATAAATACTGTTAGAGTAAATATGCAATTATGTAACATAATAAATCCATTTCTTTATGGGATACAATCAGCTGTGTTAAAAATTTTTCGAATTGAATCCGGATAATTTGAGCTTTTGAATCACATTAATCTTACGCTCTTTGCATTTGTGGGAATGTATATTATGCTTCGTGCATGAACTTTACGAAATAACATCAAAGTTTTATATTTTTTGAGCAATCTTGGTTTTTTTAATTTGATGACCATAATTCTTTTTCAAAGTTTCACTTGATCGTCTTCAGCGTTAATTAAATGCAGTTTATAAAAGAGATTGCTTATATTCTTTTCATAAAAGAATGCTTTGAAATTAACAGTTGTTTCGGGTTTTTCAGTTCAGCATGAGAACAATGGATAAAAGTACGATTACATTTCGTGCGAAAGATATGTCAATCAATATGAGTATATTAGATCTTTGTGTTGGAACTCATAATTTGTACTTAAGAAGACGTCAGCCAGATTTACTAGAGGTTCAACAAATGAAAGCGCAGGCGAAGGAGCAGAGAATTAGAAGAATTGTTTGTTTTTAATGAAACAGAAGTTTCTAAACTTGGAGGAATATGGTACATGGGATAGTGTTTAAATATATTACTTTTTCTGTTCCACTAATATCGAGCAAAGTTTGTTTTTCCTATATGATAGCATTTAAAATCCGAAGAAAATTTTTAGATTGGTATATTTTATTTTAAGATAGCTCTACTTGTTTCGATATCGATGCATCAGTTAATTTTGCAGCAAGAACAAAACCGCATGTCCCGAGAAAAGGAGCAGAGGATCCAGGCAGAAGCGGAAAGAGATCAATATAAAAATGAGGTAGCTGCAATTAGTGAACAGCTCCATAATGTGAAGGTAACATGTGCTTAGAGCAGTTAATACAGATCATGACATTTTAATTAATTATTTCTTCATTTGTTATTCTTTTATAAAGAAGTGAAAAATTTTTGAGTCTTAAAATTTAAAAATTGCAGTGTTTGTTGCTGGACTTCCATTTCATTTTTGAAACTTATTGTATTTTCTGTGATTTTTTATCTTCAACCATTTTTGAAATGTATTTTATGAGCATGTTTGCTTACCACAAAACATTGCCTAAAAAATTCAGTTCAGGAGGCTATGAAGAAAACGCAAGAAAATGCTCATTTAATGGCAGAAAAAGCACGTGTGTCTGAAGAAGAAGCTCTTGTGCTATCAAAAAGAGCTAGCGAAGCCGAAGCAGAATGTCAGCGAATGAAACTCTCACAAATTAAAGTATAGCTTCGATTCTTTTGAAAAAGTATGAATCTTACGACCATATACTTTAAGAAGATTCAAATGTAATCGTCTTGTACTTTTCAGTGAACTCTTATATGAGTGTTTGTTGATTCAGAGACTCTAATCATGAGTTCTTGCTAAGTCATAATTCTATGGTGACAACCATGTTACCATTGATGTGAGCCGAAAATTCAGAAATTGGAAATGAAAATTCAGTCATAATTGATTCACTATGTAGCGAATTTTGGACTTCATAATTCTTCATAATATTTGAGGCAGAGGAGACGAAAATGTCTTTGGAGAGGAAAGCACGTAATGCGGAACTTTGGGCCCATCGTCTTATGCATGAAACTGAACGTCACAATTACAATCAATATTTTTGCCGTGCACATTTGTGTGATTCAGAGCCAAGTTGGCCTCAGGTTTGAACAGATGAGCTTACTTTCGGGAGTCATTAGATTATGAGTTATTAAAATGCGTAAATTAGACATTACTTTTCAAGAGATAAAAGTAGTCGAAAACTATAAATTTAATAAAATTTGTTACTTACTTATTGAAGAAAGAAAAAGAAGAATTTCGTTATTCATTTCGAAAATTTGAACTAATGCTTAAAGTACTTTCTGTTCCTTGAAATAAAATACGAAATCGGTGATAAAATTCATCCAGCTAAAATAAAAATACATAATTTCTTGGTAATTTTTAGGATTGTTTGTCAGCTTATGCTGTGCCAGTTTCACAGCCTTCCAGTCATCAACGTTTGATTTCATTGTCAAGCAATGGTGACGCTGGTTATGTGCAGTATGTAGATGATGAATTAAACTTTAGTGCTTCTGTTACTCCGACTGTTAAAACGCAACCGTTTTTGAGGAAGCAAACGACACTGAATTTTCCACCGCCAGATCCATCTAGCAATCAGATAATCCCGAACGACTTGTTGTCGTTACGGACGGAAATTGAAAAGTCCAGGTGTTTCTACAAGCTGTAAATGTGAACAAGTCGAAAACTACCATTTTTCTTAAGAAAGATGGAATATTTATTCGTTTCGATTTATTGTATGTCGAGATTTTTATACTCGTTTCCAGAGCAGATTACAATGAAAAGAAGAAGAGCCTACAGGAGAAGATGAACGAATTTCGAGATGAAATGGAAATTTTAAAAGTAGAAAATCGTCAGTCAGAACATGATCGAATTCATATTGCTAATATACAAATGGGGATGGATAAATACTCTACTCTAAGAAAAGTTATTTTTATATTTACGGGATTTAATAAGCCCATTTAAATTTTCGTGGAAGATTGAATTCGTTTTTAATATTTCTGTTTGAACCACAAATTATTAAACGAGTGCAAGAGTATTGTCTCTCAAGTTTTTGCTTTTGTATTTATGTGGTTTACTGATTTATGCCAGTCACATTAGCACCTATTTTTAGAAGTGCGCCATTGTTTCCTTTATCATTTTGATATTTTGAAACATACACATTTAGTAAAATCCAATGAATTTTAAAAATCTTTTTGTGTTTTATTCACATGCCGATTCAAATCCATAAATTTGTAAGGTGGTTTTAATAAAATGCATTTGCATTTGCCTAAAATTTTTGTAATTTAAAGTTATTTGTGGTTAGGTAATTAAATTGGCATTATCATAAGTTATAAGTGAAACTTTCCAGTCAAAACAGTATGATTGGAAAATTTGAGATTAGACTATGCTTCTTAGTTTTTCCATTGATATAACATATAGGAAATTGTCTATAATTCTGCGTGTTTCTACGTCATGTATTTTTGACTATTTTCGTGTTATTTGTGAGATTTATTTCTCTTTTATCTTAACTAGCAATATAGCTTGCGGTAATAGTTTTATAACTGAAATATTTGAATTTGGCTTTTGTTTTTCATAGGGTTAGTTATTACAGAGCGGAGCTGGAGTACCGAAGACTCGTGTGCAAGTATTTGACGGTTTATAATTTCTATATTCATTTGGTCACGTTCCTTGGAAGAGACACCAACTATTTCATGATCTACGGATGACATTTATTCAATTTGTAATTTTGATTGTTACTGTGATATTTCTTGTGAATTCCTTTCTACTTATTGCTTGTGTTGCTCATGAGTAATGACATTAGTTCCAGGTCTTTCCAATACCTTGTTTTGCAAGTGCAAGTGCCATATTCTTTCGTTTTTTTGTTTTGAAAATAGCTCATACGAAAACCTAAATTTCGTGTCTTATGTGGTTTTCTTCCGGACGATATTGTTGAGAACATGTTTTACTGTTTTGTGTAAGTGATATAAAATTTTAGATATTCAGTGGTCCCACTTCTGTGATTTTATGATATTCTATCCATACGCAACTTCATTAACAACATTTCAGTCTCTTACAATCAGTAAGTTCCAAACTCCAACTTTTCAAGTTGTTTGAAGTAAGCACTTCTGATGTTAGTATTTTGTAAAGCTGGAATCAAACATGACATTAAAAAACTTGGAATCGAATGGGTTTAGAGAGATTCTGATGGCGTATAAGCATGATATTATTTTAATTCATGCTTACTTTTGTTAGAAAGTATGTTCTTCTATCTGGAATATTACTCTTTGTGTGCCTCCAGGATGTCATTTCATTGCTTGTTATGTATTTAATCCCACAGTTGAGTAGTTTTTTTCTTACATTTTAAATTGCTCATTGATAAAAAACTTTAATAAAAGCAATGCGTATTTCAAATTTTCCGAAAAATTGTCTCTCCCATAAATTTGTCGTTTGAGAGTCTGGTTAGTTATTTTACATTTGGGATTGTTGCATATATTTTGCAAATCGTTATTTGCTGTCATTATTACTGAGAAAGAACAATGAAAGCTGATCTGAAAATTCTTATCGTTTGCGTCTCTTTTTATTGATTTCGTTTATCTGTTATGTTCTTTCTTTCTAATATATTATCGATCTGAATATGTTAGATTTGATTTGTCTCTTTTCTGCATTTAGCGAAATACTGGAACAGTGTTAAAGAATACGTGATCATATTTATCGTTTTCATATTTGCTCATATGCAACCAGTTTAATTAATTTCCTTTTAAATTATCGATTTTTTGGGTAAAAGAAAAGGAGTGTCATCAAAATTTCGAAGATTGAGCTTAAAATTTCAAACTCATTGGTTGCTGTAACTCATTTGGGTTCTCGTAGATCATAGATTTTTTCTATTAAGGTTTGGATGGACAGTTAAATGTATTTTCTAATTGCTTTGAATTCATAGTTACCCGCTAAGTCAGAAGCTAGTTGGTATGTTATTCAATGGCAAAAATTTGCATGGATTACGAAATTAATGAAGATAATTTTAGAATGTCGTGTAAACGTACAAGACAGTATGATAGTTCACAATCTCCTGAAAAAAAGCGACTAGCCGATGAGAGGACTGCAAGAACTGTTTCTGTAATAGATTCTTGCATCTTATGTCTGTCCATTTTTTCAGCCTTTTTAATTCGGAAAAAGCACTATTTCTAGCTATCGTTTCTCCTCAATATTTTTGTTATATATAAGTTCCGAATAATTGTGTCAATGCTCCAGATCTCCATCAAAGATTTCTTTAAGGAATTTTATGAACGAGAAGATCGTGAAGCATTATCCATGAATATGACCTCTATTATGAACTTATTTCTTGAGCAATCAAAGCAGTTCAAACAAGAGCTGGTTGACGTCTTCTCTATTTCGAATCAAGTATGTGTTTCGACCTACTTATGAATTTATGCTTGGTTCTCTTCAATTTTATTATAAATCTTCATGACTGCTTCAGGTATCGTCAAAGTCACAGTGCCTTGGAGGATCACTGATCTCACGATTTATATCCCTACGACGTTTGAATCGCTTTGCACAATATCATAATCGACAACTTCGTGAGTCGGTAAATCGAGAACGTGCGATTGTGGAAGGACGGTTTTTACAGCTGCAAAATATCAGAAGCGAAATTGAGCATTTGCAAAGAGAAATCAGTCGGTGCTTTGATTTTAGGTGAGTTATTTTAAAAGGCTTTTTAATAATACTGAATAATTTGTTGAAGAAATGTTGAGAGTACAGGACGTACTCTGAATAAATTCAAGATTGGGAAGAAATCATGAAACTTGGAAATCATTGTTGGCTTAGTCCGACAAAATATCTCTTTTTGTTTCAAAATGCTTAGATCGGCTGATGAGGATATTGAAATGATACCAATAGAAGAATTCTATGCACGTGCACCGGCAGTTATTTCGCAGGAAGAAATTACACGACACGACAAACACCGACAGCATCTTGCAAGACTTAATTGGGAGATGGAAGAACGCAAAAAGTTAGTACAGAAAGCAAATTTTATGAAATTTGAAACATTTTAAATTTAACTTTAAACATCTTTTTCTCTCCCAATTTTTTGGGGTCATCTTAGCGTAAAATCGAATAAATCTGTAAGTGTTCTTTATTGTAACATGAATTTGTGCGTTTTCTTTTTTTTTTAATTTTTTAAAGGTTTTTTTAAATCTTTAGATTAATTAATCCTTAATTTTTTGGAAGTTTTGGATATAATGTCTATCTAACAATATTATTTTCTTAGCATGAAAGTTATGGATTGTTTTTTTTTTAATAATCGACTTAGACTGTAATAATAGCATGCATTTCAACATTATGGTGAATGGTTTTAGTTTACTTGGAACTTTGCAAGAACGGGAAGGACGTAAAAACGTATTAATTACTGACATTACAACGAAAGAACATCGTCTTAAATCTCTTAAACCTCGTATTGAAGCTCTGATTGAGGTTTGTTTTTTTTGTTTTTTTCAGTACTTATTTGGATGCATAAAATATAATTACTCATAATCATTATTGGAGTCTACCACGTATTTTCTGATTTTTTTTGCGACTCATTTAATTTGTCATTCAGGCATCAAAACCTGTCCAAGAATTGATGGGATTAACATGCAACCCTATAAATACTGAGAAGGAACGTATTTTGTCTTTATTACCTCCGGAACTTTCTGTGATTGCTATACTTGTTGAGGCTTATTGTGATATCGTTGAGGGTAAGCGATGTCTTTATTTTTAACATTTGGAGAAATGTGTAGTGATCATTTGGAGAAATGTGTAAAAAGCAATTTACCAGTTAAATTGTTTTTTTTATATTTTAGTTCATAGTTTTAAAGTTTTAAATCGTGTCGAGATAAAAAACTTAGAAAAATATAAAATTGATGTGACAATCTTTCTGTCTACATTTGGTTTTTTTAGAACCTGGAATACTGCTAAAATGCAAAGGTGACTATGAAAGTGCTGTCAAGTTTTTAGAAAATCGGCAGCAAGAGTTTGAAATAACTGAAAGAATGGATGGTGGTAATAGGGAAGATAATGTAAGTTTTGCTGGATCTATAAACAGTTTGTATATTTTGTGGATAAAAATCTTTTTTTAAAATGCTGTCAGATTTAGTATTTTAGTAAAATGTTATCGATGTATTTAACAAAGAAGAAAGGTTTAAATCTTTGGAATTTCATATTGAAGGTGTAAAGAGGTATTTTTCATTCACAACGTTGATGACTATGATTTGTTAGTATCAATTCTGTATTTCTAAAAAATCATTTTTCACGCTGTGATTAATGCAAATTTGAAGTATATTGATTACATTTAATCATTGAAATATTGTAAAAACTCTTAGTGCACCTTTTTTTAAACCTGTGTATTAATTATTAGATGCCTTTTTCATAAATTTCGGTTATTTTCAATTGGTGAAAGAATATCCATCCTCATTTTACAGCTTAGTCTACGTGAATCACTATCTCTTAATGACGGACGACGTATGACAATGAAAGAAGTTATTGCGGCACGAAAAGATTTTGTTATTGCTCCTCATCCAGTTCATATTGAAGTAGAGATTACTTGTCAAGGTCAGTTAGCAACTATAGATTTCTAACTATGCCTCATCAAATGTATTATTACGTCGGGTTTAGTGTCATATTTTCACATGCAAACATCAAAACATGTGTTTAACTCATAAAAAGAAATATTGTATAAGTACAAGTTTGAGTTAGTATTTTTAAAGACAAATGCGATTGATCAATTTGATAAGTTCAGAGTTCTTATTGTAAACTTTTCTAGACCAGATGTGCGTTATACTTGTACTGCAGTTCATTCCTGGTCTGCATGCAGTGGGGACAATTGTTAAATTCACTGGAGCACCAGCTTCAGTTTACAAGTAATAATCGAGATTTTTTTGATGGATTTCATCATTTCATTTCATAAAAAAAGTGAAAAAATAATATTGTGATATCAAAAAGATTATGAAATACACATGAGAAATGTGAACTGAGCTACACTTTTTAGAGATTTGTTCTTTGGTCAGTCTCTTCTCGATCTCTTATTCGATGAAGATGAAAACAAATGCATTAGTAATGCGGGGAAGGTCAAACTTGATCTTCTAGAGTATGTTTCAAACGTATATGGTTTTAATAATACCTTGGGAAGCAATTTGTTATAAGTACAAGCTTGAGTTGAGCTTTCCCTGAAACAAATATTGAAATTTTGTGCCTAAATACCTTCGCTATGAAATTTGGTAAGAAAAAAAATTGTAAATCGATTCAAGCTTGAAAAGAATGATCTTTGAAAAATTGCCTATAGAATGAGCTATAGAGTACAGGGTTTGATATATTTTTTTTAGAATTTCAGTAGCAGATTTAGAAAATAAGACTGGTCGATTATATGGTTTTATCCAGGAAATAGCTGGTTTAAGTGAAGTTGCAGCGAATAATTCTCAGTTGTGTGAAGTTATGCATTCAGTTCTAGTGAGAATTAGATCACGTGTGGATTCAAGATGCGCTTTAGCTAAAATAACTCACTCATTGCGTATGTATTATAGCTATAAAAGTTTTTTATACCAATTTTCTCAGAAAGTGACTTAAATTTTACAATAAAATTTATGTTCATTAGCTATAAATACGCATGATCTGTCTAGTTAAAATTTAGGTGCTTTGATCTTCCTTGATAAGCATGAAGGTTTTTATAAGACAGAAGCTAATGGTGTGTTTTTTGTAATAGTTATTCAAGTTAATAAGATTATAGATAACTTAAAATTATTCGAGGAATTGAAAAGTCGAGAATCTTTCCCAGATGTTGTTTGTTCGGAGCTTACAGATTTTCGAATGATTACAGCTGAGCAGTTTTTTGTGAGTTGAAATACGATTTGATTAATAAATACAGCTTACAAAGTTTTACAAAGATCATTGGTCTTTTATTGCTCAATTTCAAGTTAATTAAGCACTACTACTTCCAAATCTTTTTATTTATCAAGTTAATTAATTTTGTTTGATTTTTATGGCAGTGAAAATTTTGACTTGTGCTTGTACTACCTCCTTGAAAAGTGTACTTTAATTAGTTTAAATGTCTTAGGTCTTCGAATATATTTCAGGAGAATGAGGCAGTAACGAATGATTATCGAAAACTTATAGAATCCGAGGGAGGAATGAATACCACTAAGCATTTTTATTTTTCCGCAACAGTTGAAAGAAACCCAGATGCCAAACTTCATGCTTTAATATTTGTATAAATTTGTACTTATTTCAGAAAGTGAAAAGGACTGGTAATTAGTTTTTATATGAGAAAATGTGAATTTTTTCTTTATATATAGCCATCAATGAAAGACTTTCAGGTTCATGTCAGATATCCGAATGTTAAGCCAATATATATTTTAAGCTGCTCACTGGATTTCAGTAGCGAACTTACTGTAAGTGCTGTAGAAAATAATTTTTCCAAGTCCTTGTTTAAAAAGGTTGATCACTTAATGTCGATTAAATTTGCGTGCATTCATTTAATATGTGTAGTCATATCTGGGAAAAACATTTATGACTAATTGTCGCCTATTATATTAAACTTTATTAATTATAAGTTAGTGTAGAATTTTCGATTCAGCAATTGGAACGAGTTCTGAATGCGGATTTTAGCACTTTCGTGTCGTGTAATAATTTGAATTATATTTTGGAGTTTCAAATGGCATTCTTGGTCTCTCGTTTTGATGTTTTTCTTGAATCTTCCAGTAATGCTACTAATGGCTCACAGTTCACACGTGAGCACCTCCTCGTTCATCCATATAGGTTTGTTTCCTTTTTTCAATTCTTTTTATTGAAATATGTTATTGTTGCTAATGCGACCATGTTCTTATTGTGAGTTCAAAAAAAGCATCCAAAGCCTCATAGTTCCTTTTGTGTTTTCTGATACATATCGTTTTGATATTTCATTAAATTTTAAGATCATGCTAATAGTTCTTAATTATGACCTTATATTTCTCTTTATTTCAGAGGTCGTGACCACCAACTGCCTCTTTATTATAAGAAAGATATGAACGCCTTCACATTTGTTCCATAATTCACGATAAAGCTCTAAATACAATGGTTTTTGCCATACGTTATGATATCATTTTTTGAGTTAAAATGCCGGTTCCAGAAAGTAAATATTTCAAGGGGATTTTCAGTACGAAAAATTATGAAAGTTCTCTTAGTTTACATGATGTTCTTTCGTAATATGTAATATCTAAAAAATATTTATTTCACCATCGTATTTGATATCATATGCATTCGGACTATTATTAACGGCCTTGAGTCACTGAGATGATTTTTGCATTCTTTGAACGTTTCCTTTTTTGAACTTCCTGAATTACTACTGAGGAAGAAATTCTTTTGTATCTTGTTCGTAAATTACTAAAGTTCTGAATCCGCGCAATTCAGGTATATAACATTATATGTACCAGTAAATTTGAGAGGAACCAATTCTTACTTTCAACCTTCTGTTAGTTAAGCTTTCAAAGAGTACGAATCTGGTAAATATAGTATTACCGATCATGTGAGATCAGTTACGTATGTCGCTTCTAATGACTCTTTATATATGCACAACATTTCCATTATTCAAAAATAGTTTTGGACTTTGAAATATTTTAATGGTTCAATGAATGCACTTTGTGCTGAGATAATCACATGAGAGTACCAATTAGAAAAAGCTGATGCGACGATAGAATAGTTATGACTATACACATATCATATTTCTCGGAGCCTGGAATATATCAGTACTCTATTGTGGGAAGCCGATTCGCACAAGATTCTCTCCTGTGATACACATCAGAATCATAAAGGACTTAGAATTGACGCAACTTCTGTTAGATGCGTTTGTATTTGTAATTTGTCTCTATTTTCATTCGTGCGATAGAGAGTCATGTATTCAATCAACATTAAAATGTCTGATATTCCACACGACACTTATGAATTTAAGGCATTTAGATATGATTTCATTATGCAGGATTTATTATTCTGTGGCTAAGATGGGTGAAAGGAGCAGCATGAGACGGAATTAGTGTTAAAAAGCTAAATTTAAAAGGAAGATAGACACAAGGCAATTATTCTCTTCAAGACTGCATTATCATTTCACAGTTCCGTGACCTGAGTTTGCTGCTTGACTACTGATTGAAAGCAGCAGCAAACATAAGAACTATAGATTCTGCATTTGCCTGCTTAAATGAAGGGAAAACTGTCGCATTTTTAATGTGCTGATGGAAACAAAAAGTAATGCTAGAAGAAAGATGTAAAGACGAAGATTGCTTGATTAACGATCAATAGATTGCTGATCGATCGGCTGATCTGTGAATCAGCGGGTGATAGTTTTTGGAGATGATGCATGGGCGTAAAGCCAGCTACAACTCCTCCCTGACATACGCATGTTTATTTAACTGTTTTCATTTTCTTGTTTAATGAATAAAAAGTTGCTTCTCTTGGCCTTAATTAATTAGTCATCAACAAAGAATAGTAAGATAAGCGTTTTTTCCTACTCATTTCCGTTACCTCTTTATTATTCCAAAACTGTTATTGCCATGTTAGCGTTATCATTCGCTTATCATTCCTATTGCAGTCATGAAGCTAAAAATTATACTGTGTGATTTGGCATGCAACATACCTGGCTTTGAGTATCGCTGTTGAGTAGTAATCAGAAGCGACCTTTTGGATAACATCCTATGATTAGTTTCTCGATTCCATCTTCATCATTTTTAGTACAAATGGAATGTACAATCTCAGGCCGTATTTGGATTCCACAAAAAATTGTTAAAAAATACTTGGCGACCATAAAAGATCGCCAGGGCATTGAAGAATCGCATCCAAGGCATACCTCATAAAGTGAAGCATCTTAAAGTCAGACAACACCGAGTCTCAAAGCAAAACAGTGTTGCCACTACTTGTCAATGTAAAAAGCAGCAATAAACTCTTTACAGTTCTTAGACACTATCTCTTGTCCACGTATGTGTGTGCTGTTCTAGCAATCTTTCTAAATTGATTTTTTATATGTGCATGAATTTTTTCGCATTTTCAAATATACACTTGATTATAAGATCAAATGGTCTCAATTCTAAAAATTTAGGTCAGCAATAAAAGGCATTAATATGCCTTGCTTTGCAGTAATGCAAATTTGAAATCTTTTAAATGCTTGCTGGAATCGTCTGTTTCCTTCATTAATCAGATGGTTATTTCTAGACTTAGGGATTCCAGTTTCTCTCTTTATTATCCGTAAGTGTGAGTAAACTCACTGCATATTCCTTGATACCTTATTTTTAAGGTTGAAAACCGGAAAGCAAATATCTAAAAACTTTCACACTTTTTTGTCAAAATCACGTTAATTAGAGATTTTTTCTCAAAAATGACTAATTTTGTTAGTTACGTCTCTTACAATGAGTGAGAAAATGAGCTCAATCACTTCACTAAATTATGGCTGTATTAGGAGTAGTATTCCAAGTTTGTATTTGGAGATATTATCTGCACAATGTAAGCGCTTGCTTACTTTGCAATGTATCATTATCAAGTACTCAGTCATTTCGAGAAATATGAATTCCTTTGATTATCTCACATGACATTTTACTGCGCATTTCATTCGTATTTTCTAAAATCGTATTCAATCATTTTATTGCCTATAGGATTCGATTTCGCGTCAGTGAAAATTTGCAGTAGTGAACTTTGTTGCCCCATTCAAGCAGCATCATTTATAAATGAGCCCATTTGATAGAAAATTTATTGTTTTTGAGAACTATTCCAACAAACGATGCAAATTTCTATTGCACTCATTTATTTAACAAAAATATTGCACGAAATTGAAATTCAGAAAGAACGCAGTGTATTTAACTACGCGTCTTTCGTAGTGGAATTGGCATATTTTTTGCAACTGCCTGAGTTCATTGTATTGTACTACAAATACAAATAATTCACGGGTAGTCGCTGTCAGAAAACAAAAATTGTAGACAAGAAAAAAGTTGTATGGCTATAAATACAAAGAACAGACGTTGGTTCCGTTTTCCACTTGAGAGGTATTATCGCTGAGAGCAATTAATTCCACCACTTCACCGAAACAGATCATTGATTGCATTGTGAATTTATATCGAATAATGAAAGGAAGAATTTTGATCATGTGATTTCGCTTGAATTCTCCGTAACCAGGCATGAGTTGGTATTGTTAATTTTGGTATTTTGCTTACAACATGCATGTCTTGGAATGCCATGACTAATGCTAATCTGAGATGAATAGCAGGCTCTTAGCCACATGTCATAAGAAAGGCCTTCTGATCACCACTGCGTATTCGCGGTGTTGCTGTTCAATAAAGGCGGCAAGTGCCTTCAAGCGTCATAAAATTTATTCGTTTTATTTTTTACATTGCAATTCGAAAACTATTTCTTTGCTTTGGGAAACATTCTCGCTGCTTGCTCTTTTTTCGGCCATTCAACGAGACTACAACAATTTATTTATGTGTTATCGGAAGAAATGCAACACACTGAGCACCTCCCTCCCTTCTCTTCCATCAAACTCAGTCGCTTTCATCGCAGCCGTCTTAGACTCACTTCACTTCTTTCTCTCCGGAACCTTCTCTGCTTCGCACACAGAATCGCTGTGTCCTGCTTGACAGGGCTTGCGCTTTTTTCACGCCAGTATCGTTCTACAGTATGTATGCAATAGATAGGTAATAGAATTAAATGACAACAACTTTCATTCATCCTACAGCAGTTTTCCCACTTCACTTCCCACGTATTTCACAGTAAACCAGTGCATATTTATTGCAAACTTATTCATTTTCAAACACGAAATGCTTCGCTTACTCTAAACACAGTACTCTATTATGACAAACACTTGATGACTAGTTTCAGTTATATGCACAGCTATATCATTTCTACAGTAATTCAGTCTTTCGATACATCCATAATCTAGCAATGTGATTATAATTGCATGTTTTATATTGTTATCAGGTCCAGTGAATGCTATTGCTTTCTCTTATTATTGCATTACTAACAACAGTATGTTAATATGAACAGTGATAAAGAGTTAAAACTTTTATGGTAATTGTTATAACAGTGTTTTACAGGATACCATGAAATTTGACATGCTGAATACGATTTCCAACCTCTTAATTATACGAAAATGAATCATGATTGCAGTGATGTCTAGCAAAGGTATATGCTTAGCACAAAATGTTCTTCCCCATTTGGCTGAAACAAATTCTTTGAATGCACCTCAATTTAGTCAGACAACTAATTTTTCCGCCCATATTCTGTATTTGATTACAAATGCATTCGAACAAAATCTTATACTTAATTTCAAGATTTACTGTAGTTAACTATACTCATGTACTAACTTTGATTAATATCTGTTTTGAGCATATTCACTTGTGCCGAAAACCAAACATAGATTTGTAATATTGTCGCATATGAATTCATTTCTACTCTCCTCATATTGTCTGTCTTATCAGTGCAGCTATTCTTGCAAATATTGACATCTATCATCATTCAATTTTTGAGCCTTAACTTACGACTTTTTGCATTTCAGTTTAGGTAGCTTGTTTTTGCTGAGATTTGCTTATAATTCACATCTCAGTGACAATTATTTCCGATTTTCATATTAATTTGTTCGTGATTCGAGACTGAACTTTATTTCAATGAGTTGCACATACAAGGAACGATGAAATTGTGGATATGCGAACAGTAAATATTGGTAGTGAATGGCATTCTTGTTATCTGCTAAATCTGTGATTGACCAAAAAAGTTTTCGCTTAGCACTAAAGTTGGAAGTTTTTCAAAAATATTCACATGATTACATGACAGTAACGAAATTTATGCACTTTGTAACATATTTTTGTAATTATTGCGAACTAAAAACTTTTTAGAGTTGGAAGGGAATTTCAGAGCAATATAAATTGTCAACTTAATCACAAGTAAATTATGCATGTAAATGGCTGACAGCATAATATTTACTGCTACCTTATTGTGATTATAGGACTAGCAAGTCTGCAAAGCATTTTGAAATTCATCGGTTGCAATACCAGTAACACTGCATTTTTGCTTCTCAAT